CAGCGCTTGTGCAAACCGGGAAGATGGCGGCCGGCGGCGGCGGAGGCAGCAGTAAGGCCTCCTCCTCGTCGGCCTCTTCGGCGGGGGCTCTGGAGTCCTCGCTGGATCGAAAGTTCCAGTCGGTAACCAACACGATGGAATCCATTCAAGGCCTGTCGTCCTGGTGTATAGAGAACAAGAAACACCACAGCACCATCGTCTACCACTGGATGAAGTGGCTGCGGAGATGTGAGTGTCGGGGACACGGGCAGGGGAGGCTGGGGACATGGACGGAAACGCGGCCCCTACACACGGGAGGCCCGGCTCTCGGCTCGGCCAGTTCGCGCCGGAGCTGGGCCCCGAGGGCTCCCGGAGCCCGACTCCATTCCCAGCCCGGTGGCGCCGAACTGCTCGTTTCTTGGCAGTTTTAGGCAAGAGTTGGTCTGACCTTGGGCTGTTGGGCCCTGGTCCACCAGGATTTCCACGTTTCATTTCCGAGCCCTCTAAGCTGAGTTACTGATTTTATTGAACCTTCATGGCCATTGCCGCGTCCGTTGATTTCTTCTAGGCCTTGACGTGTTAACGATTTCTGGTTTTCCTGATGGTGGACAAGCTGTGGTTTAAGCAGTCGTTTAAGTCCGCCTGCCTCACCGGAATAGGTTGGACTGTTGTGTATTTGTCGCCGACCTGAAACTTGTGATGTGGCTTCAGAAGACCCAGGTGTGGACTAATGTCCCTAAAACTTGTGATGTGTTATAAAGGATTTGTCGGGATGAGCGTTACGAAGCAACGTGAGCTCCACATAGATCTGAGTTTCCCTTTGCCTGTGTCGGCTGCAATAAAGTACAGACTTCTTGGTTCCGACCAGAAACATTAATCTGGAATGTTGTGCTGTGATCCTCAATTAATACCTGAACGCATAAAACGTATCTGCCTACTTTTTAATCAGCAAAAATACGTTTTTACAGAATTAAGTTGAGTTTCATAGGTAACCAAAATGGGAAATGTGTTTTTTCAGCTGTGTAATACTTTTTCTAATGTTGTTGCTTTTTTTTTTTTCTTTACCTGTTGGGGGTTCCCTCCCACTTTGTTGCTTTACTACAGAAAGGAAGTCTACTAAAACATGGATCGTTGCAAAAAATTTGAAATCTTTTTATTACTTATTTATTTCTATGGGTTTTTTTTTGAGGCAGGGTCTTATAATGTAGGCCGGGTTGGCCCTGATCCTCCTGCCTCTGCCTCCTGAGTGCTGGGAGTGCTGGGATCACTGACACGTGCCACCATGCCCAGCTAAGATTTCAAATCTTACAAGAGGAAAGGTGGAGAGGTCTACAGTTGTTCTTGGTGAAGTAGACGAGGGTTAGCCTTAACTGCATATACTGTATATCTCTTTGACTTTTGATTTAGTCAACCAGTTACTATTCCTGTTCTGTCATTGCCTCTGTAGTGTTTTGATTTGTGTTTACCTTTTAGGAAATAGATGGATAAAGCTTGCAAGACTGTAGAACCAAAGCTTCAAACCATCTGTTAAACTTACTGTTTTTTTTTGTTTGTTTTGATTTGTTTTTGTTGTTGTTGTTTTTGAGGGTCTCACTATGTAGTTGAGACTGGAAGTCACTGTGTAGCCCAGGCTGGTCTCGAACTTGCAGTGATCCTCCTGCCTCAGCCTCCCGAGAGTGCTGGGATTATAGGTGTGTCACCACACCGGGCTAAAATTTACTGTTGAAGAGATGTTATGTTGTTCTTTGAATAATAATGCAAAGAAATTAGTGGAGAAAACATAAGATTAGGTAATTTGTTTACCAATGGCAGATCAAATAGTTGTTTCTTGCCAAAAGGGAAAAATTAGAACTTGTATTATAAATATGCTCAAAGTCACCATCAAAGATTCTCATCTGCTATCCATCCTCCTATTTCATTATATTTTATGATATAATTCACTAGATTTAAAAAAAACCATTAGATTATAAATGAGGAAATTAAGGTTTAGAAATGCCAAAGTTGCTGCCCAGCTTGGTGGCACACACCTGTAATCCCAGCCCTCTAGGAGGCTGAGGCAGGAAGATCACAAGTTCAACCCTAGCCTGGGCAATATAGTGACTGAGACCCTATATAAAATTTTTTTAAAAGGCTGCGGATGTAGTTTAGTGTGAATGCTCTGGATTCAATCATTGGTCTACCAAAGGAAAGAAAGAAAAATAGAAATGTCAAGTTGCTAAAGATTACTCAGTAAAATGGTATAGTTAAGATTTGGCTTTATCATTAACTTTGTAAAATAATGGTTAATGTGCTGGCACACCACTGGTAGCAAGCAGTGCTAATGAGAGAGTGAGGATATATTCTCTACCCTATCTTACAAGATTCTTACTGAATTATGCAAACATTTTACATTTCCTACCTTTGGGCTCTGGTGTCTTCTCCCTCTAGCCTCAAATGGAGAATTGAGCCCAGGTTCTTGTATGTGCTAGGCAAGTGCTCCACTACTGAGCTCCATGTTACCCCACCCCTTTTTAAATTTACAAGTTAGAGACCAGGTCTTGTTAAATTACCTCAGCTTGCCGCAGGCTGCTCTTGAATTCAAGGTTCTCCTGCCTCAACCTCCTGAGTGCCACCTGCTTGGCTTGGGGGCTCTAGGGCTTTAACTCTGGTTACATCATTGGCAAGAATAGGTCATGCCCCAACCCTGCCTTGTGGGATCATAAATGATGATTACTGTATTTTTTTTTCTAACCAGCAATAATGAGCCTCTGTTGTTAATACAGTGCCTAAATGTATTTCTTTGGTTGATATTAAAAGAGTGGAAAAAGTTATTATTCCAGGAGGGCAATACTTCATTTGAAGTATTTTCTATATAATTTATATAATTTGCTTTGGGCTTTTTAAAATCTGATATTGTTTTCTACTGTAGTGAAATGGAATTTAACTTTCAAAAATGGTTAATAATTTGTAATCATTTTGTGCTTTCATTTAATGAACATTATCTATTTTGCAAATAAAACCTTTGGAGAGAAATACTCAACTGAGTGGTGAAGGGTAGAATGAAAATAGCATATCTGTTGAGCCTCATTTTCATTTAATTTTATAGTTCTTTACAATTAGACCTATTTGTTTGCTTTTTTTGGGTGGGTGTTACCAGCGGTTGGACTAAGGACCTTGCACTTGCAAGGCAGGCGTGGTGCCACTGAGCTAAATCCCCAACCCCCACTTTGATTTTTTGAGACAGGGTCTCGCTATGTAGTTCAGGATGGCTTTGAACTCACTATGTAGCCAAGACTGTCCTCAAACTCGCAGGATCCTCCTGCCTCTCAGCCTTCCAAGTGCTGGGATCACAGGCGTGCGTCGCCACGCCCAGCCCTGCTTCGCTGCTTTAAAACTCTCCAGTGATATTGGATGCAACAGGTTCTGTGCTTATTTTACTGTGGTCTGCCAGAACCTGTGCCATCTGATTTGTTTGCTTCTCAGACTCCTTCAAATCCTGTCCTCTTCTCAGCCTTTAGATCTAGTAATTATCTTTTTTTTTTTTTTCAATTGGTACAGGGGTCAAACTCGGGACCTTACACTTGCCAGGTAGGCAGCAGCACCACTAAGCTAGATCCTGGCTCCTGTCTAACCTTAGATATTACCTCCACAGGAAACCTTCCGTATTCATCTTCACTTACTGTCATATTATTCTGTTTTCTGTACATGAAATTATCTTATTTGTTACTGTGTTTATTTTCCTCCATAAGATGGCAGAGCTGTCTTGTTTGATGCTGTAACCCAAAGCAACTAGAACAATGCCTAGCATACAGCAAGCAATCAGTAAATATTTGCCAACATGATGTTGTGAAATAATCAAAAAATTGGAGAATGGAATTGTTTTTATCAGATGGAAACATTTATAATTTAATAGAAGATAGCACAGGAATGGTTGTCTTTGGATATAGGATGTGGCTCTTATGTGGACTTGATGTAAAGCTTGAACTGATTTTTTGTTTGTTTGTTTTGTTTTGCTTTGTTTTGTTTTTTAGGTACAGGGGATCAAACTCGGGCCCTTGTGCTTGTGAGGCAGGCGCCAGAACCGCTGAGCTAAATCCCCAGCCCTGTAAATCTTTTTTTGTTTTGTTTTGTTTTGTTTTTTGTTTTTTGAAACAGGGTCTCACTATGTAGTTCAGACTGCTCTGGAACTCACTCTGTAGCCCAGGCTGATCTCGAACTCAGCAATCCTGCCTCAGCCTCCCAAGTGCTGAGATTACAGGCATGTGCCACCACGCCCAACCTGATTTTCATTTTTATACTTAATTTTTCTCTCCCATTTTCCCCCTTCCATTTTTAATGGGAGAATTGGTGTGGAACAGTTAAAAAACAACAACACAGGCTTTAGAATTAGACCTAGGTTTGGTCAGGAATTTAGCTCAGTGGTGCTGCTTCCTGCCTCACAAGCACAAGGTCTGGAGTTCAATCCTGGGTACCAAAACAAACAAACAAACAAACAAATAGAATTAAACCTAGATTTAGATCCTAACCCCATTACTTAATCACTGTGGGCCTTAGTTTTTCATCTATAAGCAGACATAATGATTGCTTATGGGATCTGGAAAAATACAGATGTAAGAAGATAGTACATATGTTTTATTTTATTTTATTTTATTTTTTGGTACCAGGGGTCAAGCTCGGGACCTTGCTCTTGCAAAGCAGGCAGCAGAACCACTGAGCTAAATCCCCGATCCTCGTTACATGTATTTTAGCACTGGAGCTAGCACATAGGAAATATTAAAATTATTGCTTATGTGGGTACAGATGTAAGATCCTGAGTATTTAAAATAAGTATAGCAGGGCCAGGTATTTAGCTCAGTGGTGGTGCCGCCTGCCTAGCAAGTGCAAGGTCCTGAGTTCGATCCCCTGTACCAAAAAACAACAACAAAAAAGTATAGCAGAACTTTGTTTTGGCTATAGGTGGAAATTACAGTCCTAATCCGCGGAAGACCAGTTAATTAGCCTCTCTGTAGGAGTACTCTGAAGAACTAGAAGAACAAAATAGCAGATGCTATGTTCATGATACCTCTATTTAGTCTTATTTTTTGTGAACCCATCGAGTCTATGTACTGAGCTACATTCCTAATACCCCCTCCCCTTAGATTATTTTGACTCAGAGTCTTAATAATCACTAATTGCCTAGGCTAGTCTTGAATTTACAGTTCTCCTGCCTCAGCCTCCTAGAGTGCTGGAATTAACAAAACCATGCCCAGGAATTTAGTCTTATTTCTGAC